GGCGCTGGCCCAAAAAAGGTTGAGAAACACTGGTCTATAGTAAAATAATGTAACATTTATTTTGCGTGTAATCTAGAGGTGCAAATACTGAAAAAATACCTAAATTGTGCTTTTTAAAGTTAAGTCTTTGATCCTATAAGATTCTTTGATAGACCTTCCATAGATGCACCTAAAAATATAAAAGATGGAAAAGCCAAAACTCCGTGTTCATGCTGTTAAGAATGAGCGTGGAGTGTATTGGAGACTCACCGTAGTACTGGAGCGGCTCAGCGGAGCAGTAACTCTCCGAGGTGGAGAGATACCCCCCTGCTGAAAAGCTCATCTCAGACTCCGTCCACTCTCTCATCTGGACCCAGAAATCCTCTCTCCAGTCTGTGACCTTTAAGTCTATTTTCTCGCTCCAAGAAAACACAAAAGCAGTCTGAGAATTCACACAGAACGTGACGGATCTGGATGGTGAGGAGACATTCCTTAATCCCCACGATGTGTTCAGGTCTCTACGACTGATATATACTTAAAAAAAACCACACACACACACACAGAGAGAGAGGAAGAGTGCAGCTGAGGCTCTTCGTCAGTGGTGATGAAGTGCTGGAGGAGGGCCTGAGCGTCCCTCAGGGGTAGACAAAAGGGAAAGTGGGGACACCCAGGAAGGACGGGGCTGGAACCGCTGTCCAAACAGCTGGACCTGACTGCGACTTGATAAATCATGAGACCTCCGAGATATTCAACACTCACTGCACGTCAGAATGTATGAATGCGAAGTTGTTTGTTTCCCAGAGCAGAAGAAAGTAAATATATCACTTTTTTTTTACGAGCCTAAATGTTGTTTTTTTAGTGTTGTACAAACCATATGAACAGAATCGTTAAAAGTTTGTCCATCCCCATCCCAGGCCCTGGGAGTTTGTTTACTCTTTCCTTTTGTTTACTGCTGATTTGTTTGCACTGCAGTTAATATTAGACAGCAGTTAATACTGAAGGGTCTCCGGGACCTCCGACTTCCCGAGCAAGACGGTTCAGCCAAAGCACCAGGGTGTCTAGGCCTGTCCTGCCGGAGGAAGACAGAGGAGCGACCCCGACCCGGGGCATGTAGGCCCTTGAGCGCGGGGCCGCTAAGACGTGCAGCGTGTTTACGGTGGATTGATGGTGTCCTCCCAGCCCGCTGTCATCCCCTCTCACTGACTCGATGTGGGAGCCGGCAGGAGGTGAGAGGGGGAGACAATCATTCTTTCTGAAGCTGAAAGCTTTTCTCAGTGAGAAGGAAAGCAGGAATGTTTCTGTATGGTACACGCCGTCTTTAAGGGATTTCTCTTGTAATCCTAAGCGAATTACTCATGATTAGTCTGACTTAAAGTATGCTCAAGTATGCTAAAATTTAACATACTTAATATGTTTGTTTTTCACCAGGGTAACTTTAATCCTATTCCTGGATTTGAAGTATCGCTTGAGATTACTCGTTACTGGAAAGAAAGTGGTACGATTACTGATACGGAAACTCGGGGTTAGTCAGGGACCTTCAACTTTCACTTTTCGGAATCGTGACTTCAGGATCAATCTTGATGATGCCAAGACTTCTGAGCTGAGGTTTGACAGAGGCCAAAGCACCAAGAAATAGTTTGATTTCTGTTGATTGGTTCACAGGGGAGATGAGGAGTGGAGGAGTGTTTCTGTCTTAGAAAAAAAGGGTGATTGAACGCACAATGTGACTGGCAGGGGTAATTTTAGATAAAAGAACAATAGATCTGAATGTTATCAGCATAGAAATGATCAACTGTGTTGGAGCCAAACTCGAGGTTGGGGAGTTCAGAGGAACTTCATGGGCAAATCTGTTCCATTTTTCTGACATGGAAATGGAGAATTCCTACTTCCCATTACAAACACAATGAACCAAGTGTCCTTTTGGTAACACGGTACTGAATTAACAACTGAAGTTAAAAACGACTCTGTATGGTTTCACCAAATGTAAAATTTGGTGCAGAAATGTCCAGCATTGAGCTGCAGACCAGTCATAAAAACAGAAAATCTGTCAAAATGACATGTGTTTAGTAGGACTCAGTTGATCTGCAAACTCTTTATCACCTTAGAGTGGAGTGTAGCATGAAAACCGAATCTGGCATAAATACAAAGTAGAGGGGGGGTTATTGTTGAACCATATTTCATTCCACGAATCTGACAAGTCCAGCAGTAATGAAGCATCCGCCTAATAGTCTCCGACCTCTGACAGATATACGGAGGACAGAGAGCAGACAAGTGGGGCCGAGAGAGGCTCTAAATGATGGAGACGACATCTGACAGTGCAGATGTCACCGTGGATCTTCTGGAGGTGTCAGGCTGTTGGACACATTGTTGATTGCAGGCCTAAGTACGAGGACTTGTCCCAAGGGAGAGGAGTGTCATAGAGAGAAGAAGAAGAGGAGGAAGAGGAAGGACAATTGGGACATTAGGAACATCACATCAAGACTTCTAAAAAATGTGCTCCGAAAAACAGAGGATGTGAAAAGATAAGACGAACCCCTCAGAATTTCTAAACAAACCGATTGGAGTGTTCAGACCTTCAAACTCATTAGTCCCTCATAACTCAAGCTGTGAGAGATAAATCCAGCACTTCATAAATCCCGCCCTGGACACAGTATCTGTCTGTCTGTCTTTATCGGTGTGCTGGGCGGTAGCTGTGGCTCGATAATGACCTGTTTTGTTTACTGACGCACTCAAAGGAGCCGGCTCTCACTTTAAAGTGGCCCCTGGATTTAGAGAGCAAAGTCCACGGCCCACATCTGAACCAGGACAGGAGAGGGAGGGCTTCGGGACGTCACGGGGAAGAATGTCCACATCTTTTGTGTTCAGATATTTTCCTCCATTCCACAAATCTGTGACAAGTCCAATGATGGACATAAGAGTACCAGATACAAATACTCTTTATATATAAAGAGCAGCAGTAAAATATGCCACAACGTTCCCTAGCTTTTGACCAGTGCCGGTCCTAAGGGATAGGCAATCTAAACGGCTGATTAGCAACCCCAAGTCATCAGAGGACTCCTGTAAATGCCTGGATTTTAACTTTTGCACCCAATTCCTGTTTATAAAAAACACTGAAGTTGATGTTTGTGCTTCTCACACCACCCTGGGGAAAGAACCATTTAAACGGACCATTAAAACCCTTGCAGCGTTCCCAATGATGTGGGTTGTGTAAACTTCTGATAGACACTGTATTAGCAAACTAAACTGGCAGAGGCAAAAAAAAAAAGATTAAACTAAGAGAGTTTCTACTGTTTTTTAAATGTTCATTAATATCTGGTATTATTTTGTCTCACTGTTGCCTTTCACCAACAACACCATCCACTGAATCCTAAAGTCATTCTGTTTGCTGCTTTTAGGGTTTTTCTCCGATGAGCAGTTTGTGTTTCAGCATCTTTTCGTCTTGCCCAGCCTTCACCTATTTTGGGGGGCGTTGGCATGTTGACAGCACTGAGATTTTTCTCACCTCAGCTCATTTAGTGTAAACCAACATTTTCCAATGAGACGTACATATCACTTAGACATACAGTAGAAAAGCAAACAGTCTTTTGTGCAACAGGGGAAATGTGATAAACAAATCTGGTATTGTAAATAACAGAATAAAGAGTTTGAAGTTGTGCCGTATGGGACCTATTTGGTTGAACTTACTGGCAGGAAGAGTGAAAAAAGTTCTTGCAGGAACTGGAAGCGTCTCATTAAGACATTCCCAGCATATACTGTTTATAAACAGGCTCTTGTTCATCGCTGGTGATGGATGGACGTGTCCTGCTGCTGACTCTTCCTGCAAACCTCCCCGACTCCCCTTCTAACAAGCTTTCTGCCACTGTTTCACCACAAACACACACATCGCTATGGACCTGATATTTTATGTTTCAGTATCACCTCCTCGCTGGGTGGGCCGCTTTCAGGGTGTGTGATTTCACGGAGGAGGGAACGTGCGTTAGGAGGGAGAACGATGCAGCAGAAGGGTCAGCGTGACTCCGCTAATGAAGAAAAACTGCTTGGCTGTCGGGAGCAGGTCAAGGTCACGCAGAGGAGCTGGACACAGATCCATGCCACAGTTTTCAGATTCTTATTTGAGATATTCTGAAAATCATTTCCTTTTCACTTCACGGATATGTCCTGCATTGTGTCGCTGTCTAATGAAATCCAAATGAAGTTGCATTAAAATGTGCGATTGTGACAAAATGTGAAACTTTTACAAGTTACTGGTTAATAAAAGTATCTGAGGAGGGAAAAACCCTCAAGTTACGAGTCAGACGCAATATCACGACATCGTCTTTGTTTTGTTTATTTCTTTACAGTACACGGACCGACTAGCTATGTTTATCACTTCCAATATAAAACCAACGTTCGCTTCAAAATGTGCAAAACCACACAATAAAATGTGCAAATTAAAAAGGCAAAAAAAAAAAAAAAAAAAAAAATTTTTTTAAGACAGTTTTAAAACTCAGCTGGTCATGCATCTTCACAAAAACATCGAGTAAAAACCTGAAACTACAAGGAAAATATGAACAGTCTGCATAAAAGATCTGTCAACACTTCTGACATGTTTTTTGCTGCAGGTTAAGGGGAGAGCAGATGTAGATACAAGGTTTATATGTCTTAAAATCTTAAAAGGACAATACCAGACAGTGGAGTTATTCTGGCACATTTCACCACCACAGACAGGGTTGGATGTGGAGGTTCAGAAACTTTACAGCACCGTAGTTGTTTCAGAGGAAACCTCTGTGGAATGGTCTAGTCTGAATGCTTGACGTTACGACTCAGAGCTCCATGTCCGACGTCTGAAACCCAGACACTAAAAAGCAGATAAAATAAGAAGTTTTATCTGTACTTCCATTGCGGCAATAAAAAACAAAACCATCTGTAAACATTAATCAGGACGAACATATAATAAATAAAAACTAAAACTGATTAAAACTGAGTTCGATTGGAGTTGAGCTTCTCTCCAGGATCTCCTCCGTCTGTCGGTTCAGCTCGGGATCAGAGGCGCCGTCTCATCAGTTCCCAGGCTGCCGTTCACGTTCTGAACCGGAGCCTTGCGGTAGATCAAGAACTGCACTGAGATCTGAGCGGCAAGGTTAAGGAAATAAAAGAACGAGATCATTTAGTCTGGAAATTGAGATATTTTCCAATAACCCATTTGTTTTCCCCATACATATCCAGATGCAGAAATGACTTAAATTTCATACTTTTCTAGGCGAGGTCATGGACCCCGTGTATTGGGTTTATACATTGAAATCAGGCATGTGGACAGAGTGCAGTCCAACACAGCGGGCGGTTGTAAATGAAGGTGGTCTAAAAAGTACAAAAAGCAAAGTGAGTTAATGTCAGTCACATCACTGACTCTTACCAACCAGGCAGCTGCAGCTGATCCAGAACCCTGCTGCTCGAGTTCTGACTAAAACCAGGAAGATAGAGCACTAACACCAGTTTTAAAGTCCTTCCACCGGCTCCCTGTCGCTCAGAGAATAGACTCTAAAATACTGTAGTTAGTTTATAAATCACTTAACGGCTTAGAACCACAACACATTAAAGATCAACTTACCAGACCACTAAAGTCTTCTGGTTCTGGTTCTGCTCTCCAGAGCCAAACACAGAGAAGCAGCATTCAGCTTCTATGCATGATGCTGAAAAATATTTTTCCACTCATTAAAACGTTGGTTATTTTGGGCAAAGACTGCAGCTGCAGCTTCATCTGATAAAACACTAGCATTGGAGTTTTGCGACAAAGCAGCCAACAGGGGGCGCCGAGGTAAGCTTTTTTTTTTACTCCCGTTTCCCATAGATTGGGGATCCGGTGCATTCACTGCTGAATACTTTGTTTCAAACACAACCAGAGGATGTAGAACAGAACCTGACAGCCATCGTCTCTACTTGGCGCATTGTGCAGCAGCATCTCTCTGTGGAAGGATACGATGAGGTCCAGGGTGAGCGTTCCGAGGCTGCCGATGAGCCAGGGCAGGTGATGGACCAGGTAGCTTCTCTCGCCGTGGCCCCGCTCAGGGTTCTTCAATAAGACACTCAGGCCGTAGGTAGTGTTCCCCAAGATGACGAGAGCAAACAAGAAGTAAGACACTCCCTCCGTCGACTTCCTCTTAAACTGCGACGAGAAACGAGACGACCGCAAGGGAAGTGAATCGTCTGAATGAGGGATGTGGAACGTTTTCATTTTCTACCTACTCATGTTCATGTACACACTGTTCCCACACAGGGAACAGCAGGTTTTTGTTTTTACACTGGATTATATTCACTTAAATTTTTGCAGTTAACAAGAACATTGAATCTGTCATTTCTCACTTGGATGAGTTGTTTTTCTCCTTTAGTCTCTTGGATACTAACAGAACTCTTCAGTAATGTCTTGTAACACAGAAGATGCACCCTGTTCTCTAGAAAACATGCTCATCAGTACTTCAATGTAATGAAAACTTTGACCAGTTTAGACCCCAAATTGGTCTCTATGCATTCCCACTTTGATCCTTCTAATTTACCAACAAAATTAAAAAAAATTTTAAAAAAGCTTTACCAAGTAAATGTACTTGAACTGCAAGCTGCTCTTTTGACCTTCCACAATGGTTCTTAACAGCATCGACTAAAAATGATAAAGAACAACTTAAGTTTTAAAAATAGATATAATAATAAATGCAGGTTTTAGCCATTTCCCAGTTTTTTCCCCATAGAATAATTACATTTAATTTCCACAGTAGAATGGCACAAACATCATCTGTCATTTTTATTTACATCTATGTTTCTCGTTCTGAGGCTGGAAACTATGTGCAAACATCAACATCACATATTACGTTTCTGAACACGTTTTATGTTTTTCTTCGTACTAAAATCTAAAAACAGGGATAAAAAAAGTTACTATTTTAAAACAACAGGTTTCCTGCAGGAGGTAACAAAAATTTTAGGACGTCTTTACATCAAAAGATCAGGTAATATTTGTGGCTCTAAAACCATTTAAATAGCTCAGAGATCATTAAAATTATGGAAAAAATGGCACCTAACTGGTGACTGAGCACCATAGTTTTTTGATATTGCTACATGTGCATAAACAGACAGACATTTCACTTAATAAATTATACAAAAAAAAGTTAGTTCCACTAAAGCTAGCCCAAGTTCTTGCATCCCTTGGCTTTTGTCCTATGAATTTATTGTTTTTATTGTAGTTTGAGATTTTCAGGAGCTACAGAGACAAACCATCATAAAAAAATAAAATGCTGAACTCTAATTTAATTTAATTGAAAGTCAAATCGGACACGACACGGCCAAAACTGCTAAGGCATGAAACGGCATCAACATTCCTTGAACATTTTTGCAAACCTGCTTGTCATACTCACATTTGTGTGCATTTGTGGCAGCCTAGAGCAGAGGTAGAGGACGGATGACACCGACCCAATGGAGAAACCAATAATCTCTCTAGGGGTAAAAGGCTGGGGTAAAGAGGGGTAGATTTAACGTTACCAATAACCAAAAAACAGCCAGACATAACTAGTTAACTTCATTCAGATAAGTAGATCATAACAGGTCTGACCTGAATAGAGCTAGTGTCAGTGGTTGAGAGCAAAGAGCGGCTCCTGAACCCAGAGAAGATCATTTCAGGTTCGGGGTCGACCCCAGGGAGGTGGGCCAGACCAGCAGTCAGGCCCAGAACGCAAGAAATGCCCACGACGTTCAAAACTGTTCTCCCTGGTGAAGATGTGAAAGCAGAGGTCGACATCAGCACAGAAAACTGAAGCAGGTACAAAAAACATGATGTTAGAGTAACGTTGACTCACTGTTTATCAGTCAGAAACGTATAAAGCTTGCTTTTAGCACATAACTATTTCAAATTTAGTTATTATAGCCGTCTCTCCAAAATGTCTTACTGGGACGATATCAATATCCAATATTAATATTGCTAAAGTTTATTTTGCATTTCCATGGAAATAAATATTAGCTCCTAACATTGGCCCAGTTTTATTCATCAGACCGTTATCAATATGCTGATAAATGACTGCTACTGGCCAACACCAATGTTAGAGCCAATATGTTGCTAATCATTATTGCACATAAACAGTATATTTAGTATATTTTATGTGTGGATTTTGAGGTCCGGTTTTGTGAGGAGCCTCAGGGTTTACATGTCTCCTACTTTGTTGTTACTGCAAACTTTGGTGTTAAATACAATCCAAATGAGCTGGATAATATTTAAGAATATTCAGTAAGATAAAAACAAAACTTTAATTAACAAAAGTGAAAATACTCACTGTGAACCATTCTGTGTCTCATTTTGTAGTATGTGTACATGGCAAGCATCAGCAGGTCGGCCAAGACATAATAAATCGCTGTGTAGGTCTATATGACAGGGACAAACAGATACACACGTCTCAGGTGGACAAAAAACTGTTTCCTATGAGTTCACATGCTTCAAACTGACTAAAATAATTAATTGATACAAGAATATTCCATAACAATGTGCTTTCATTAATAAGAATGCATTACATGGTCATTTATTAGCATTCTGGTATAGTTGTTTTTTATTGTCTTAAAGGCAAAAACCATAAAACATTTCTTTAAAATCATGAATATTGAACATTTGACAAACTTGAAAAAAGATATTTAAGTCGTTTCTGTAAAAAAAGAAAAAAAAAAATCACCTGAAGTGGAAGCTGGTCAGCCAGAAAGGAGCCAATCAGATTGCAGGAATCGCCTCCCAACCACAGCAGCAGAAACCAGACTGATAGGGCACTGTCCATATTCCCCTTTTTACAGGAACTGTAGTACTGACTGTAACCAGACAGAGAGCAGAGTTAACTTTACATGACAGTTAAACAAAACTACAAAACTGACTAAAAGAACAAACCCTTACGGAAGAGAGGACACCATGAAACAGACGATGGACAGGAGACCCAGGCAGACGCTGGCCATGTCCCTCGCATCCTGGGCGCATTCCCCCAGGCCTTCCCAAACCCACTGGGAGCCATTCGGACACAACGAGCTGAAGTTTCCTGAATCTGTCCATCCGGGCGAGCTCAGGGTGAAGACGTTGCCTTTCCACATAGTCTGCTGGTCAAGAGACACGTCTGTCAGTGAATACTAGAAGTTTCAAATTCACCAACTAAATAAGCAGAGAGAGGAAATGGGCCAAATCTTAGTTCTGATGGGTGAGTCGCAGATCAAATAAGGAAAAAACTTTGACTTTTCCAGCCCTCTTTATTCATGACATACTTATAAAACAACAACAATAATAATAATAATAATAATAATAATAATAATAATACAATCACCTTTAGCAGGCTATTCATGCTTAAACACTACTCAAAATATACTTCTGCAAAAAAGAGAGGAACAACATTGCTCCACCATGACGAAAAAGACTCATAGCCTTTTTTGTCTTGAACGCTGCATAGACATGGTGTCAGCAGGTGTGGCACAACCAGTTATTAGTTTTAGATGGTAATTACTTTTTCACATAAGCAGGACTGATTCTGATTGCTGTTTATGCAATTAATAAAGGACATGTTAACTTCAAAACTGCATTTTGTATTAAAATTAGTTTCATGACCTAAAATGAATCTGTCCATCCAGACAGACAAAAGAGAAACCCATAATGAATATGCAAAGGTCGAACTATTTTTACTGCATGGTTTGAGGCATAATTTGTAATATTCATGTAATTTCTTCATTTTAGGTTGAATTCAAAGCTACTGTCCCTATCAAAGAACATAAAGTGCATGTTTTCTTTGTTATGTATTAAAGTGCTTTAAAAAAAAGAAGAAAAATCAGAAAGGCAAGAGATAAAAAGCAAAACAAAACAAACAAAAAAACAGGAATTTGAATGGGCCAGAAAAGGTTTGCTTCCTTGTTGCATTTCTGTCAATGTTGTAAATTAAGTCTTCATAAAAAACGTTTTCTAAACAGATATTCAAGTAAAATACAGAAATAAACCACCAGACCTCAATGTGTCGCAACAATATAAGCAAGACCGACACTGTCCTTTAAAGGAGAGGAAGTAAACAAATTGTTTGTGTCGGCCATATGGCTCAAATGTCGAGCTCTGACAAAACAAACACATGAGCAACAAACTAATATCAAATAAAAAACATTGAACTCAGATGTTCAGGTAATGCATTTGACGAGGAAAATGGTTACCAGTAAAGGTCACAAATCTATAGAGATCAATATCAAAACAATAAACACACTCTCTACTAGCTATTGCAGAGATTAGCAACAAAAGCTACCTACACTGCCTCCCATAGATGACCGTTTTGGTTCAACTTTAAGCCAACAATGTGAACATGAATAATATTTGATGTTTGCCTTGCCTGTGTAGCCGCTGACACGCCTGTGGATTCGTTTCTACGCACAAAAACGTCGATCCCGAAGTTGGGAACATACCATTGAAGAACACAGTAAATACCAGCGACTGTATTGTCTTCCCAACCGCGCGCTGATTGGTTGATTTTATAAAAACGCATCCGCAAACGTAGTCATGCGCATGCGTGACTAAATATGGCAGGCCATTTTAACATAAATTCGGGTTTGTCTGACTATCCGTAATTACGTTCCAGATATCTAAAAATGCATTTTGACTAGACAAAACTACACGTTGACTATCCGGAATTGTAATTTGAGATATCTGCATTTACATTCTGACTTGTAAGAATAATAATTCAAGACATCTCAAATGACGTCACTGGAACACAATTTAAGATATCTTGAATTATGACTAGTCAAAATTACAATTTTAGATATTTGAAGTAGGAATTGCGTGGAAGCCCCTTTGTGCTGTCCAGTCCAAACAGTTGCCTGCAGAATTTTATGTTTGCTGCACAAAAATGTTAGTAAATACCACAGAGCTCGGCAATGTTGGATATGCAGAGAACACAAAACTTCATAAACTGTAAGACTGCTTCTGAAATCTGCAAAGAATTTCCTGTTTATTAATTTCTGACAAACCAAATTTACTGAAAAACTTTGAAAAGCTAAAATTTGAAAAGCTAAAATTGCTACTGTCAAACCATTTTCAACATCAAATGGGTGCATTTTCAAACATCTTTTGTTTTTTTCTATTTTTCATTGCTTTATTAAACTTTCAAATTTCTACATGTCAGGGAAGTTTTGACTATACAGAATACATCAAGATATGAGTAATGTCATTCTGACTAGTCAGAATGTTAAAAAATACAATTCAAGATATCTCTAATTTGGTTTTGTCTAGTAGCCGTTATTTGCTTTTAAAATATCTACAATTTAAATTTTGCTAGTCAAAACTACAAATCAATCCAAAAATACATTTAATCTCCATATAAGTCAATGGTAAAACTGACGTCATTTCGACTAGTCAGAATGTCATTAGAGATACCTCAAATAGATATTTTGTCTAGTCAAAATATAGTTAGAGATATCTCAAGTCACTAAAACGTCTAGTCATAAAACAATTTGAGATATCTGGAATGTAAGGGTGGTAAAACCAAATTTATGTTAAAACGGCCTGCCATATATCCCAAAAAATACATGCGGTTTTGGTTGAGCAACTCTGAGCAAAGCTCCAAACTACGAAAATAAGGGAAAAAAGAGAAAAAAACACCACATAGTATACATTTCTCAGCATATATAAGCAACCTCATTAACCTACATTAATTCTGTAACTAGTTCTAAGCCGATATGAACCTTTAGGTCTCGTACATTCCTCATTAAATGACAAACCCACCAAAGATTATAGAGCTACGTTCGCATTTTCCATGTTTTACTACAAAATGTCCCCGCTATCATAATTGTTAACGTAGATTACGTTAACAGTTATGTTCATTATAATCTCTTAAACAGTGCGTAACCCTCAAAACAACTGGAAAAGAAAACCAAGTTGCGTTAAATCAGAAAAGTAAACTTTTTAACGTATAACTATATTTATTAAAACGCATGTGAACAGAGGAAAGACACAACATACCTGAAAGGCTATTAAAACCCGAAGCTGAATCTAAAACACAAACTGGTCTTCTTCCACTTATTCTGCAGGTTTGTGGAGTTCTGCTCAGGTGTCAGCTGACCCGCCGTCAGACTGACGACTCAGCACCAAGTTCACTGATGTCAGCACGAGTGATTTTTTTAAGGTTCCCTGAAGTCACGTGCTTAGTTCCGACCTTAACCCCTCAAAGAACAAAAACCGAACAAATACAATCTTATCAAATACTGAAACGGCACAAACATGCCTGTTGATTATCCACAAAAGAGGACATGAGAAAGTCAGCAGAACGTTCTGTAATGACTGAAGCCCAGGAGGACTCAGCGACTTCTTGAACATAAATAATCTATTGCAGTGAAGAAAGTAACTAGCGGCAACAAAATCACAACTTTAAATACTAATGAAAACTCCCTTTTAGATATTTTTTCCCCACATTACAACTACAAAATGTATTTTATTCGGATCAGTGATGTCGGATCACATGTCACAATATGTGACATATGTGACCCATATTGTGACAATGGCATGAAAAAAAGCCATTGTTGAAAGAAATCCAATTTGAAGTTTACCACAACCCAAATAGACAGAAAACGTGGAAAGTGGGGTGGTCTGGTCAGATCATTTTGTTAACCCGTCTGAATAGGGCTAAAACGATTGTTTTGAAATCGATAATTGAAATAGTCAACTAATTTAGTAGTCCATTAGTCAATTAATCAATTATTGATTAATAATTATAATTAATTAGTAATATTAATTATCATTATTATATTAATAATAAATAATGAATATTGTTAATTATTAATTAATGTTTGTTGCAGTTCTTACCCGCCATACTTTTTTTTTTTTTGGAGGGGACGGGGTTTAGCATCGTCACAGTAAACTGGATTATTTGAACGAATATTGCCATTTATCTTCCAGATGTTTTTGTTGCACCTGCAGCAGATAAACTTAAGGAAACGACAACCTGCTGTACAAATACCTTCCTCTGGTGTATTTCAAGAACAGGTTTTATTGACGCACCAAAACACCTATACTGTAGACTCTCTTATTTACACAACGTTTCCACAAAGTCATACAAATACTTAGTAGGCTCGATGTCAAAGCATAGATAATATACATCAAACAGAATAAGTCAAGTTAAATGCTTTTATAAAGAAATTGTTACAACTCTACAAATGCGAATGGATGATAGAAAACAAAACAAATCAGTTGGTAGCTACAACAGAACAAGAAGTCCTACTTCAAAATCTGTACAAGCGGGTCAGTGTCCTTGAAATAGAAGATCCATATTTATGCTCTAGGGAGGAAAAGGAATAAAATATGACAGAAGACTTGTAAATATTTCATTCCAAGGCAACAATCTAATGAGTTTGTTTAGAAAACGTCATACTTTTTGTCTCTCCAAAAAAAAAAAAAAGAGGCTGGGAGATGAAAGGAAGACAGTCTTTTAACTTCTCGTTTCTTTACGCTGGGCTTTTACTTGATGTGAACAACCTTGTCGTCCGTTTTCAACCGTTTGCGTCGCGGCTGAATGAAGTCCTCCTCGGAGTCCTCCGTGTCCACGAGCTCCCTCTCCTTCTCGTCGGAGGACCCGGGCTCCGGCGAGTCGGGGAAGTGTTGGTCCGGGAATATGTCCTGCAGCTTCTCCTCAAAGTACAGGCTCACCGCCTTACCAGATATCGCCATCTCTGATCCCGCCTGTCGGAGGAGGAAGGAAGAGGAGGAGGAAAAGGTCGGAGGAGAAGAAGAAGAGCGTGAGGAGTGACATAGAGAAGGAAAGGTGTGAGTACCGTTGAGTGTGGGCGGGATAGGGGAAACATGAGTGGGTTGGAGGCAGGAAGGAGGAAGAGGAGAATGAGGAGACAAATTAGATTTGGTTAAGACTCCTGGTGGCAAAGCGGCCCCAGCTCAACCGTGCTGTACAGAGCAAGGATGTCCTGCCTTCCGGTCCCACTGTGGCTCCATGAAACATCTCCGCTAGTGACTTACAGGTCAAAGAGGCTTGTTCAACAATACCCACCAAAAAACAAACAAAAGAAAACAATCTATTCCATAAAGGAGATTTCCAAGGTTGCGTAAGAATGTAATGAACATGGCTCAATAAAGAGCATTTCCACCCCATTACAGACAGAAAGAAAAGCTAACATACACTGATCAGAGGTAACATGAAACTTTATGTTGAAACCCTCAACACTGCTGAAGATAAAATTGTTGAATTAACATCAGTGCTGTAGATTTGTTTCAGACTTTTAGTGTATGTGTCCCAATACAATATATTTTTCCCTCTAACACGATAAAGATGTCGTAGCTTTGAGTATTGGATGACTCCAACCTAATGTGACATCAGCACGAATCATTCAAACTTTTATTGCTTACTCTGTAGTGTGGAACGTTACAAAAAGGTTTCATAAAGTGACATTACTCAGAGAACAATAGTCAAAAGCAATAGGCATGAGAACAATTGACCCATTTATTGTTAACCAATGGGTGTGTGCGCGCGGGATGCTGCTGGATAGAAACTGGGACAGAATAAATGCTGGAGCGGAGTGCTTCTATGAGATTTAAATACTTGTCTTTTGGATGATACTGGACCGAATTCCAATATCAGCATTAGCTACCTACATCATATATGCACTAATCTGCTTCCAACACTATTTGAAATGCGGTGCAGTCAAACTGTACAGAGGGTTTTTTATTTAAATACTTCCTTACTGTCAGAAACCATGTACTGAGGGAAGTGCAAAGTAACCAACGACTCACGTTTCATAATTGTTCCTGCTGATTTATAGAGCCGACTTCTCCTTTATGGAAAATCCCTGATTAGGCAACTTGCCAGAAATCTCACTGTAAAGATAAAGATATTCTACAATAAACGCATACAGAAACTGGTGTTTTATCTCCAATACAAGGTGCTGAACAACGTCCAAAATATCACTTATGTAGTTTTGTTTTTTGCTTTAATATATTATATTAAAAGAGTCCTGGAATGTCTGCTGTCTCTACTCTTAATACGGAAAATTACTGGCCCCTGCATCAGAGGCCAAACCTTTATGAAACCGGATATTGGGAATCGGTCGTATAACTCTGATCGGTGCATTTCTACAGATTTCCATTTCTCCTTTCCTCTAATGTGTTTTGTGCCGTTATATTCAGGTGCATTCACAGTAAATCTGGTCACTAGCATCCAAGATATTTCTTTAAAAACTGAAACTGCTTCAGTAAAAATTGTTACTGAAATAAGCTGCTAAACACGAAAGAAGCAGAGGATGCTAGTTGTCCTGTTAGGTGTCAATAAACGGCGTTTTACAATATTTCTTTCACTTTAGTCCAAGGCATTAAGATGAACTCAACTGGAAATAACATGTCAGACAAAAACAACCAAATAATCCCAAACCTGACAGATCCTGCACCAATACTCCAGCCTGACAGCTAAAGGAACATTTGCATAAGCAGCAGACTATCTAAAACTTTTCTTGGAGTTGATAAAACTAACCACTTAGACACGTTCAGTCATTTTACACATTTAAAAGCTTTTTTCTTTTTACTGTGTAACTTTAGAGTCTTCTATACAACTTTTCTATTTTTGAGCGACTTGAATGAGGCAAGCACACATTCAAATTGACTTGAGCAGCTCATTGCAGATCAACCCTGAAAGTTAATAAAAAAAACTCCTTTGTGTTAGTAATGTGAAACAAACTTGTCCTGTATG